TGGGCGCTCGCTGTACCTTGAAACCATGATCCTAAACCTCCAAACCAAGGAACCAAATCCCATGTAGGTTTTGGTTGTACATAAACAGCCTTAACAGCTACTCCCCACCCTGTCCTGTTCATTTTGTAAATATATCTCTTACACAAGTTTTGCCAATTTTACTTTTTACAGGTGCACAGCTTATTGGCAGCAATTGCAATAGTTGACTCTGCTGCCATACCTTTATTTTATTATTATTTTTTTCATTGTTCCACATTTTTCTCCCACTTTATCCAGGATCTCCTATTTTGATCCCTTCCCAAGTGGTTGACAGTGGTAACCAGGCACTATCTAGTTCTTCTGGTCTCAGGGTCATGTAGGCTGAGGTTCACATGGTCTGTTAGTTCCTTGAACTAATTGTTTTTATGGGTCTTTGGTTTCATTCTTCTCTTTTGCTTTCAATGAGGAGAGAGCTATTGTTGCATCTTAGATGGCCACTTGCAAGGTTTAAAGACCCCAGTTGCTACTCACCAGAACAGTGTTTTTTTTTGGTAGTATGTTATGCCCCCTCAACCATGGTCCCAAACCCATGGGCTCAGGGATTCATTCCCTCAGGGTGTTTGGCTGTGTCACAGAAGTTATCATAAGTTTTCTCTGTTAGCTCTATTACATATATGGGCATTCTTTTTTTTTTTCTCTTTTTTTTTTTTTTTAGGATTTGGGTGAAGATTTACAGAGTAAATTCACTTTTCCTACAGCAGTTCACATATACTTTGTCTCATGTCATTGACCAAAATTTACAATGCAGCAGCTCCCCTCCCACTTCCTCCCCATAGTTACCTCCTCCCAGTGTCCATCCCTTCATACTCTTCTGCACCCTGAGAGGCCCATTGTCTGCCAACCCTGTATATGATCTTGGATACACTCTCCATTTAGACATACATAATTGTTTAGCTTGTTCACCCATCTATCCGTCCCTATACCCATGTTTGCTTTCATTGACAGCTCAGTATTGTATTTACAAAGGGGTTCATATTTGTTGTTTGTACTGCATATATGGGCATTCTTAATAGCTTGTCTGTGAAACTTATACATGGTCATGGGTATATATTCCCTTTTGTGTAGACATACCTGATCATTTAGCTTGTCTGCTTGTAATTAGCGAGAGCTTTCTGTTAACTGTTAACTTCTGCTTTCCCTCTTTTCCTGAATTTGGTGACCGCTAATAAAATTTGGTCTGTATACATTTACCTTTTGTCTTTTTATATAAGTGAGGTCATACAATATTTGTTGTTTTTTGATTAACTTATTTCACTCAGCATAATGTCTTCAAGCTCCATCCACATTATACATTCATCAAAACTGCTTTTCTTCTACTGGCTGAGTAGTATTGCACATGTATGTGTTCTTCTTGTTATGTGCCGTGGAGTCAGACCTGACTCATAGTGGCCCTTGGGTTTCTGAGGTGGTATCACTATGGAAGTATATTGCCCTATCTTCCTTCCGAGGAGTGGCTGGTGGGTTTGAACCACCAGCCTTTTGGTTAGCAGTCAAATGCCTTAGGCACTATGCTAGCAGAGCTCCTATGTTTGTGTGTACCTCATTTTATTTGCCCTTTCATCTGCTGATGGGCATTTATGTTGTTTCTACCTTTTGGATATTGTGAATAGTGCTGCAATGAACATTGGTGTACAAGTCTCTGTTTGAATCTCTCTGTTCTCACTTTGTGTGTATATATCTAGGAATGGAATTGCTGGGTTACATAGTAGTTCTGTTGTTATTATTATTATTATTAATATTTTACTGTGGATTAAGTGAAAATTTACAAAGCAAATTAGTTTCCCATTCATCAATTTATGCACAGATTATTCTGTACCAGTCCCTATAATGTGTCCGCATTCTTCTCATTTTGATCTTGGGTTCCCAATTCTGTTGCTTAATTTTCCTATCCCTTCTTGCCTTCTTAATATTGCTTTTGGGCAAATAGTGCCCGTTTGGTCTCATATAATTGATTTTTCTGAGAACCATGTTCCTCCTGAAGGTTATTGTTCACTTTATAGTCATGTCTTTTATGTGATTAAAAACTGTTCTCCAAGAGTGGCTTCAGTTCTACGTTAGAAGAATATCTAAGGGCCGTATTCTTGAGGGTTTTGCTAGTCTCTGTCAGACCAGTAAGTCTGGTCTTTTTTTGGGATCTGAATTTTGTTCTACATTTTTCTGTCACTTTATGCAGTACTTTCTATTGTAATCCCTGTTAGTGGTGGTAGCTGGTACCATCTTGGGTTAGTGGAGTATCTTCTAATCTTGTATTAGTGGAGGCTGTGATTCATGTGGTCCGTCAGTCCTTTGGACTAAATAATTATTTTCTTGATTCTTTGGTTTTCTTCACTCTTCTTTGTTCTAGATGGAAAGAGACCAGTAGTTGTAACTTAAATGGCTGCTCACCAGTTTTTCAGACCCAGTTGCTACTCACCAAAGCAGTATGTAGAACATTGTCTTTATGGACTATGTTATGCCAATTGACTTAGTGTCTCCTAAGAATTTGGTCCAAGATCTCAAGCTCAGTATTTCAGCCCTGGCAGATTGGTCGTTCTATTTTTAGTTTTTTCAGGAACTGTCACATTGTTTTCCATAAGTACTATACCATTTTGTATTCTCACCAGCAATGCATAAAGTGTTCAGGTTCCCCACATCCTTGCCAACATTTATTATTTTTTGTTTTGTTTTTTATCTAGCTGTTATATTGGGAGTGAATGGTATTTAATTGTGCATTTGCTTTGCATCTCTCTGATGGCTAATAATGTCAACATTTCTTTTCATGTATCTTTTCATGTGTTTGGTGGCTGTTTGAATGTCCTCTTTGGTAAAATATCTGTTCAAGTCCTTTGCCCATTTATACTTGGGTTATTTGTCTTTTTTGTTGTTTGGTTGTTGAAGTTTTATATTTTGGTTATTAAAATCTTAATTGAAATGTGGTTTCTGAATATATAATATAATATATGGTTTCTGAATGTAATCTTCTAGTTGGTATCTTGTCTTTTTACTTTTTGGTAGTCTTTTTATGAACTCAGGTTTTTAATTTTATGAGGATCCCATTTATTTATTTTGTCCTTTATGGTCTGTGCTTTTGTTGTTATTATAATAGATAATCCATTGTTAAAAGCTATGCCTGACAATGTTGCCACTGTGACAGTCCATCTCATTGAGAATCTTTCCCTTTTTTGGGCTGTTTACCAATCATGATATCCTTCTCCAAGGACTGGTCCCTTCTGACAACATGACCAAAGTACGAGAGATAGATCTGGATATTCTTGCTTCTAAAGAGCATTCTGGCTTGTCCATACTTCAAGACAGATTTGTTTGTTCTTCTAGAAATCCATGGCACATTCACTGTTTTTCGCCAACACCACAATTCAAAGACATCAACCCTCCTTCAGTCTGCCTTATTCGTTGTCCCACTTGCACATGCATATGAGGCAATTGAAAATACCATGGCTTGGATCAGGTACGACTTAGTCTTCAAAGTCACGTCTTTGCTTCTTACTCCTTTAAAGAGGCTTTTTGCAGTAGATTTGCCCAGTGCGGTACATTGGTTACTTGACTGCTGCTTCCATAGGCTTTAATTATGGATCCAAGTAAAATGAAACCCTTGACAGCTTCAGTCTTTTCTCCATTTATCATGATGTTGTTTGTTGGTCCAGTAGTGAGGATTTTTTTTTTTTTTTTATGTTGAGGTATAATCCATGCTGAAGACTGTATGTAGTCTTTGGTCTTCATCAGTAAGTGCTTCAAATAATCTTCACTTTTAGCAAGCAGGGTATGTCACCTGCATCTTGCAGGTTGTTTATAGTCTTCCTTGAATTCTGATGTCGTGTTCTTCTTCATAGAGTCCAGCTTCTCGGATTATTTCCTCAGTATACAGATTGAATAAGTATGGTGAAAGGATACAACCCTGACAACATAACCTTCCTGATTTTAAACACATGGTATCCCCTTGTCCTGTTCGAATGCCTGCCTCTATGTACAGGTTCCTCATGAGCACAATTAAGTGTTCTGGAATTTCCATCCTTCGCAGTGTTATCCATAATGTATTATAATCCACACAGTTGAATGCTTTTGCATAGTCAGTGAAACACAAGTAAACATCTTTCTGGTATTCTTTGCTTTCAGCCAAGATCTGTCAGACATCAGCAGTCACATCCCTTATTCCATGTCCTCTTCTGAATTCAGCTTGAATTTTTGGCAGTTGCTTATCTATGTCCTACTGCAACTGTTTTTTAAATTATCTTTCGTAAAAGTTTACTTGTATGTGATATTAATTTATATTATTTTATAATTTTCTCATTCTCTTGGATGTTTTCTGGTTGGGTGGCCAGGTAGCTGTCCACATTTCTTGTCATACATGGATGAGTGCCTCCAGTACTACATCTGTTTGTTGTAACATCTCAGTGGGCATTCATTCATTTCCTGGAGCCTTGTTTTATGCCAGTGCCTTAAGTACAGCTTGGATTTTTTCCTTCAGTTCCATCGGTTCTTGATCATATGCTACCTCCTGAAATGGTTGAATGTCAATCAGTTCTTTTTGGCACAGAGAATCTGTATTCATTCCATCTCCTTTTGACGCTTCTTGCATTGTTTAATATTTTGCACGTAGAATCCTTCAGTATTGCAACATGAGGCATGAATGTTTTCTTCGGTTCTTTCAGCTTGAGAAATGCCAGGTGTGTTCTTCCCTTTTGATTTTCTAACTCCAGGTCTTGCACATTTCATTTTAACTCTTTACTTTGTCTTCTTGAGTTGCCCTTGAAATCTAGCCCTAGTGCTTGTGATATTGTGGTAGACCACTTACCATACTCCTGTTTTTGTAATTGATACAATCTTTTCTGTAAGAAATGTAAATTGTGTATATTAATGAAGTGTGTATATTTTCATGAATTACCTAGTGATCTCAAAGTGTAGATGAGACTTTCTTTTATTACTACTTTACTAACTTACATTAATGATTTGCTATCCATTTTTAGATATGAATATCGTGTAGAGATGGTTCATCAGTCCTGCAATGATCCTACTAAAAATATCATTCGAGAATTTGCATCTGACTTTGAAGTTGGAGAATGCTGGGGTTATAATAGATTTTTCCGTTTGGACTTACTTGCAAATGAAGGATACTTGAATCGACAGAATGATACAGTAATTTTAAGGTAACAGGAAACATTTGATATCATGGCTTTTGGTATGGGAAAATAATGCCATAAGACTTTATTTCAAAGCTTTTCATTTAAGAAGATGAATAGTGAGATTCATATTTAAATATAACCTTACATTTTTTTAAGCCATTTCATTGCAAGACTCTGTATAGTCAATGAATGATAAAGCATAGTCTGTTAGTTTCTTGGACTGTGGTGGCTTGAGTGTTACTGTGAGGCTGGAGAGTATTCTATCAGTATTTCAAATACCAGCAGCGTCATCCATAGTGGACAAGTTTCAGCAAAGCTTCCAGACTAAGACAGACTAGGAAGAAGGATTGGGCCACCCACTTCTGAAAAGAACTGGCTACTGAAAATCTTATCTATAGCAGTGAAACTTTATCTGGTACAGTGCCAGCAGATGAAACCTTCAGTATGAAAGGCACTCAAAATAAGCCTGGGGAAGAACTACCTCCTCATAGAGTTGACTTTAATGACATGGATCAAGGAAAGCTTTTGGGACCTCTTCATTTGTTGATAGAACATGACTCAAAGTGGGTAGAAATAGTTACAAACATCTATTAGTTATTGGGACATGGACAATACGAAGTATAGATCTAGGAAAATTGGTAGTTGTCAAAAATGAAATGCAACACATAAAGTTCTATATCCTAGGCATTGGTGAGCTGAAATAGACTGGTGTTGGCCATTTTGAATCAGACAAGTCATATGATCTACTACGCTGGGAATGACAACTTGAAGAGGAATGGCATCACAAAATGTTTCGAGATCTATCCTGAAGTACAGTGCTGTCATTGATGGGCAAATACAATATGCTTACAAGGATGACCATTTAACAAGATTATTATTTGAATTTATGCACCAACCACTCACTAAAGGCAAAGACGAGGAAATTGAAGATTTTTCCAACTTCTGCAGTCTGAAATTGACCAAACGTGCAATCAAGTTGTATTTATTATTATTGGTGATTGGAATGTGAAAGTTGGAAACAAAGAAGAATCATCAGTAGTTGGAACTATGGCCTTGGTGATAGAAATGATGCCAAATATTGCATGGTAGGATTTTGCAAGACCAGTGACTTATTCATTGCAGATACCTTTTTTCAACAACATAAAACAGTGACTGTACACGTGGACCTCCGCAGGTGGAATACACAGAAAGAAAATTGACTGTGTCTGTGGAAAGAGGCAAGAGGAGCTCAGTATCATCACTCAAAACAGGACCAGGAGCTGACTGTGGAATAGACCATCAACTGGTCATTCACAAATTAAGCTGAAGATAATTAAAATACATCCTTGAGAGCCAAAATATGACCTTGGTTATATCCCATTTGAATTTAGAGACCATTTGAAGAATAGTTACAATGCATTGAACACATTGAACTCCACTGACTGAAGACCAGATGAGTTGTGGGATCAAGAACATCATCCACAAAGAAAGCAAAAGGTTGTTAAAAAGGACAGGAAAGAAAGAAAAGACCAAAATGGATGTCAGAAGAGACCCTGAAACTTGCTGTTGAACAGAGAGTAGCTAAAGCAAATGGAAGATGATAACATAATTTTAAGGTAACAGGAAACATTTGATATGGCTTTTGTCATGGAATGAAATGGAAGAAATGATGACATAGAATAGCTGAACAGAAGATTTCAAACGGCGGTTCGAGAAGACAGAGTAAGGTATTATAAAGAAATGTATAAAGAGCTGGAGTTAGGAAAGCAAAAGAGAAGCACTTGGCATTTCTCAAGCTGAAAGAAGTGAAGAAAAAGTTCAAGACTGGAATTGCAGTAGTGAAAGATTCATGGGTGAAATTTTAAATGATCCAAGAAACATCAAAAGAAGACAGAGGAGTACACAGAGTCACTGTATAATAAGAATTGGTTGACATTCTGCTATTTTCCAAAAAAACCAAACCAAACCGACTGCCATCAAGTCGATTCCAACTCATAGTGACCCCCATTGGGTTTCTGAAGTGGTAAATCTTTACGGAAGTCGATTGCTCTATTTTTCTTCCGCGGAGCAGCTGGTTAGTTTGAGTGATCAACCTTTTGGTTAGCGGTAAAATACCTTAGGTACTATGCCACCAGAGCTCCTTTTCAGCTGTCTCAGGAGGTAGCAAAAGATCAAGAACACATGGTATTGAAGGAAGAAGTCTAGACTGCAGTGAGGGAATTGTTGAAAAACAAGGCTCCAGGAATTAAAGGAATACCCATTTTGATGTTTTGACAAATGGATGCATCATGGGAGGTGCTTAGTTGTTTATGCCAGGAAATTTGGAAGACAGGTACCTAGCCAGCTGACTGGTAGAGATTAATATTTGTGCCCATTTCAAAGAAAGGTGACCCAACAGAATGTGGAAATTATTGAACAATGTCATTAATTTCACATGCAAATAAAATTTTGCTGAAGACAGTTAAAAAATGATCATATCAGTATAACTATAGGGCGATGGCATCTTCTGACCTCCTCTTACTACACAAGAGGAACGAATCACCAGTAGCAGCTCAGTGACTGTTGTTATGGAGCTAGGCATCCCACCACCCTCCAGCCCTCTTACCATCCTGACACCAGCTGTCCTTCCTGCAGCACCCACTACCTCTTTGGTGGGTTCTGTAATTTGCTGCAGTGGCCCCATACAACTCACAGATTATTGGGTTTACTGGGAAGCAGCAGGCTACAATTCAAATTAAGGAATGTGCTTGGTCTCTCAGCAGCACATTTCTCTCAGCAGTAGTCAGACTACTCTCTGACTCTAGGAGGGCTCATTTTAAGCCTGGCAGAGTGGCAAAACTAACCAATCCCAACATCAGAATTCTACACACCTGAGAGCGAGAGCGAACTTTCCCGAAGGTTGTTTCGTGCTGCTCCAGCAGAAATACACGAGGTGGATAGCTTTAACAATCAGCTTCTCAGTTGCTTATGGCAAAGTGGAAGTTATAAAGACTGTGACTAGAAAAGACATACACCATGTAATTTACTACACTGCAAGTATGTTTTTTAAAAATTTACTGTATTTTAGATGAAAGTTTACACAGCAAATAGGTTTCCATTTAGCAATTTTTATACAAATTTTTCCATGCCATTTGTGTGATTCCATGCACTTCAAACTTTACTTCTCCTCCACTGTCAGACCACACTTCTGGCTCTGAGTATGGTAGGGTCTCTCATTGCACCTTCCAGGAGAGTTTGTGCAGGAGGTAAAGTCATCTTTGGCAGAGAGAGTGTCCCAGGAAAGAATCAGGTGATATTCTGGTACCTCCAGATCTGATGGGAGCACATATAACTAAGAAAAGACAGTTGGTCCTCACCTGAGTTGGGAGATATTGAAACCCCAGACATCAATCTCTACCTTGACTTAGAGGAAGTTCTCAGATTTCAAAGTAGGTTCTAGGCTCAGAGGAGAGAGCAAAAGGTTGGAAGTACCTGATCTTGTGTTGAGAGAGGTACTGCAAACTACTGGTTCAGCATAGGAAGAAACAGACTAGGCTTAAGGCTCAGAGAAGGTAGACTTGAGAGATAAGGATCTGAGGCCCAGAAGGTGGTGCCTGAGGGAGAAAAACGGCTACCCTATAAACTGGACACCAAGGTACCACAGGTTAAAGGAACAAGTTATATACAAACAAACACGGTAAGAATTTTCCTGTGACCCTTCCCAGAGATTGCTTTAATGATTCCCCTAGAACAGGGTCACTCAGGGTGTACATCCCACAAATAGAATCTGAAGGCTTAGGTGGACCTCTCTCCCTGCTTTCTCCTCTCTGGGGGAAGGAGTCTGGGATTGTGACCCATTTTCACTGCTCTCTCCCACCTCACTGCAGGGCCCTATAAAAGGGACGATGAGAAGAATCTAGAAGTTGGACACAATCACCATCCCAGTCTCACTGTGCAAAAGGTCTCTTTCACGTTCTCCAGGTATTTGCAAAGCCATACAGTACCCTGTTGTTCTGGTAGGCCTTTGCTGCTGCAGTATATTGACAGGGAATTTACAGAAATTCAATCTGGATTCAAAAGAGGACATGGAATTAGGGATATCATTGCTGGTGTCAGGTAGATCTTGGCTGAAAGCAAAGAATATCAGAAAGATCTTTACCTGTGTTTTATTGACTGTGCAAAGTGTTCAGCTATACTGATCATAAGAAATTATCAGTAACATTGTGCAGAAGAGAATTTCCAGAACATTTAATTGTGCTCATGAGGAACCTGTACATAGACCAAGAGGCAATTGTTTGAACAGAATGGGGATACTGAAAGGTTTAAAATCAGGAAGGTTGTGTGTCAGCTTGTATTCTTTCAGCATACTTTTTTTTTTAGTCTGTATGCCGATCAAATAATCTGAGAAGCAGGACTTGAATGTGGCATCAGAATTGGAAGAAGACTCAAGAGCAACCTGCAATATGCAGATGATACAACCTTGCTGTAAGTGAGTAAGACTTGATGCATTTACTGAAGAAGATGACAGACTACAGTCTTCAGTATGGATTTCACCTCAACATAAAATAAAAATCCTCAGGGCTGGATTAATCAACAATATCACTATTAATGGAGAAGATGATGAAGTTGTTAGGGATTTCATTTCACTGGGATCCAGAGTCGATATCAATGGAAGCAGCAGTCAGGAAATCAGATGTCCTACATTGCACTGGGCTCATTTTCTGCAGAGGACCTCTTTAAAGTGTTGAGGAGCCTAGATGTCACTTTGAAGATTAAGATCCATCTAACCCAAGCCATGGTCTTTTCAGTCAACTCAGATGTATGTGAAAGCTGAACAGTGAGTAAGGAAGGCTGAAGCAGAATAAGGAAGACCTGTGAATTGTGGTATTGCCAAAAAATACTGAAAAGTATCATTTACTGCCAGAAGAATGAACAGATCTCTCCAGGAAGAAGTGTAGCTGGAAGGCTCCTTAGAAGTGAGAATGGCCAGACTTCATCTGATCTACTTTGGTTGTGTTCTCAGAAGGGACCAGTCCCTGGAAAAGGATATCATGCTTGGTAAAGTAGAGGGTCAGTGATAAAGTGGAAAACAATCGATGAAATGGATTGACACAGTGCCTGCAATGATGGGTCAAATGTAGCAAGTATTGTGATGATGGCACAGCACTGGGCATGGTCGTTCTGTTGTACATAGAGTCACTGTGAGTCCAAGCCACCTTGAAGGCACCTAAGAACAATAGTCATGAATTTGTTTTACATCTAATTAGTAATCCATAAAAAGGAAACTACTGCCCCATAAATGTAGTAATGATTTCTTTATCTATTGAAAGTTCAACAACTTTATCCATTGGGAAACTTAAGAACAGCCAGGGAAGAAGTGCTTATTATTGTATGTTATTTGGCTGTATGCTATGTCAAATAAACTGAAGATGTAGGATTCATCATTATAGATTAAAGGCAGTGTCTAGATGTGCTGTAACAAAACTACCACAGATGGATGGCTTTAATGGACAGATTTTTTTTTTTTTTTTTTTTCTCTTTGTTGGCTTTTGGGGAAGGTCCTTGTCTCTTAGCTTCTGCTGTTGGGCATTCTTCTTGTGGCTTGGCATCTCCCCCTGTCTGTTCTTACTGGCTGGCTTGTTTAATCGCTTTTTGTATTTCAAGAGATTGATTCAAGACAACCTCTTCACTAGTCCTGCCTCATTAGCATAACAAAGGCAACCTGTTTCCAAATGGAAACATAACCACAGGTATAGAGGTTAGAATTCACAACATGTTTTTTGGGTACACAGTTCAATCTATAATATCCCAGGAGCAGAAGCTAAAAAGAGACCTTCCTTCCAAGCTGACAGAGTGAGAAAGCGTCCCCCTAGAGCGAGCACCCTGAATTCTGACTTCTAGCCTCCTAAAGTGTAAGAAAATAGTATTTGTTTGTTAAAGCCTTTTCCTTGTGATATTTCTGTTCTAGCAGTACTAGATAAATAAGACAGCTAGTTTGATAATATTTTGTTTGGATTATTTTTCATCTGGAGCTATTCTTTTAAGGTTTCAGGTACGTTCACCAACTTTCTTTCAAAAATGCCGGGATCAACATTGGTATATTACTCAGTTGGAAGCTGCACAGACTAGTTATATTCAACAAATAAACAACCTTAAAGAGGTAGGCAAATAACATGTATATTGGATTTTGTGTTTTATATTGACTCTTTGGTGTGTTATGTTTTTAATTGGGTTTTGGGTATTTGTTGCTGTCTTGTAGAAAAATTGAGTTATTCTGTTCATCTTTACACTTTTGATCCTCTGCTTCCACTGTCCATTTTAGTAGCCAGTAGCCACATGTGGGTATTTAAATCAATTGAAGTTAAAAATTCAATTTCTCAGTCGCACTAGCCACATTTCAAGTGATCAGTAGCCACATACAATGATTGCCATAGTAGGCATCACAGATAAGACCATTTCCATCATCATATAATGTATTGTATTGGACATGCTACTCTTGTTTGACATAAACTCTTTAAGTTTCTCTAAATGAGTTTAGTATTTGTCTTTTCCAAGCTGTTTAGATTTAGAAGATCCTAAATTATAAAAAAATGGAAAGATGCTCTATCTTTAACTTCTGTCATTTTTGACTTGAGCCCTGGGGAGGATCAATTAATGAATTTTCATTTTACAGTGGTAAATTGTGTTATGCAAGGAATGTTTCTTTTCCGTGGAAATTGGGATTGGGTGGGATATTTGGATTCTGAGAGAATAATTAATGAATGGAAGAAAATATCAATACTGTCAGAGATTATGTTAAATATACTATTTAATCAACTGACTTGGTACGCTATATAGTTTGCTTAATAAAGTATGTGTAGCTTGAGATAGACATGAAAGGAGAGGAAGGAAAAGAATAATTGGGACAGCTTATCCTTGGCATTAATGTGCCTGGTGGCTAAATGAAAGGTTGGCAGTTAGAGTCCATCTAGAGGTGCCTCAGAAGAAAAGCCTGGAGATCTACTTTTGAAAAATTAAATATCAAAAACCCTGTGGAGCACAGTTCTATTCTGACACACATGGGGTTGCCATGAACTGGAAGCCACTCAAAGGAACTGGTTGGTTATCCTTGACACAGATTTTTCCGTAACCAAAGGCAATAGGGGGGTGAGACGATTTAAGGAATGGTTTAGTAACATCTAGATACATTTTTTTACCTGAAAGATTTTTTACTGTGCCATTTAAGCCCTATTTATGACAGTTATTTATTTGTGCTATTCTTGTTTTAAAAGAGACTTACCATTGAACTGTCTCGAACTCAGAAATCAAGAGATTTGTCACCACCAGATAATCATCTTAGTTCCCAAAATGATGATGGCCCCGAGACACGAGCTAAGAAGTCTGGGTCTAGTTCTGACATGCTTCTCGAAGGTGGTCCAACTACAGCTTCTATAAGAGAGGCCAAAGAGGACGAAGAAGATGAGGAGAAGATTCACAATGAAGATTATCATGTAATAATTATGCCTATGCCTAGTGTAGATTTTTTTATGTTTGACAAGCAAAAATGATAGGATACTGATTTTCAACATACTGTAGGGAAACTGAAGTGCTAAAAATCTTTTCCATTGATTTTCTGTGCATGCTAATGCTTATAAGTCAAAAGTTGTTGGAATGAAAGTGTTTCAGAATTCTGAAAGTTTACTGTAGAACATGATAATAATTGCTTTGATATACATCCTAGAAAGATTTAGATTTTTTTCTTTTATGTGTCCTCTTTGCATTCTCTCAAATTAGTATATACCTTATTATTGCATACGTACGTATGTAATATGATTTCTGATTTAGGGCATTACCATCTTTTGTCCCAGGTAAACAGTAGAATGACCCTTCAAGAAAAGGAATAGGTTATGGTTATTATTATTTAAGGCAAAACAGAGATTCAGAGATAGATAAAGGTTTTTTTTGGTAACAGTTGTTATTTTTAAGATGGGGAATTTGAATTATATGTTGAAATGAAAGTGCTAGTGAAGAGAAATGTTGAAGATAAAGGTTGAGGGTATTGATAAAACTAACTAAGCTCTGGTAGCGTAGTGCCTTAGGCACTTGACTGCTAACCAGAAGGGTGGCAGTTCAAATCCACCAGCCGCTCCTCGGAAGGAAGATGGGGCAATCTACTTCCGTAGTGATACTGCCTCGGAAACCCAAGGAGGGGTGGCTATGAGTCAGGTCCGACTCGATGGCACATAACAACAACTAAGCAGATGATAGCGGTTGGGATAACACACTCAAGTGAAGCATTACCCTCATATAATGACCTTGAGGATAATAGAGTTTACATAAGATTTAAGGAGTGATGGTTTGAGATGTTACTCTGTGAGGAACAGTAGTGGAAACTGAAGTGGGATATGTATAGCCATTTCTAGTCACAGTGATGGAGCTCTGGTAGCGTAGTACCTAAGGCTGTTGACTGCTACCCAGAAAACTGGTGGTTTAAACCCACCAGCCATTTCTCGGAAGGAAGGTTGGGCAATATACTTCATAGTGATACCGCCTTGGAAACCCAAGGAGGGGTCGCTCTAAGTTGGGTCCGACTTGACAGCAAATAACAACAATAACAACAGTCACATTAAGGACTCAGCTGAAATTGCCAACCATAGATCAGTAGTGGTGCCGATCAATATGGTTGTGTGATTTTCTCAAGAGAGCACAGTGCCCTGGGCACCAGAGCAGAGAATTCTGATGATTAGATTATTTTGGTTTGCTTGGTGAATGGGACTGGATAGGATGAGCGAATTAATGGAAGTATTCTAGAAACCTTATTTTCTTTTCTCTGATCTCACATGAGCTTTCCGATGGTGATCTGGATCTGGACCTTGTTGGTGAAGATGAAGTAAATCACCTTGATGGCAGTAGTTCCTCAGCTAGTTCAACAGCAACAAGTAACACAGAAGAAAATGACATTGATGAAGAAACTATGTGAGTGTCTCACATTAACTACCAGTATAAAACATCTAACTGGTAATTTATTAGAACCGTATTAATTAACTCATGCCTTAAAGTAGGAATAGTCAATATTAAGTTCCTTGGGGGAAAGATCAGGAACTGTCTGGTTTATGACCCTTTTCTCCTCCCAGCCAAATCTCTGAGCCATGGCTCTGGAGCCACCACTTTAGAAGGTGGCTATTTGGTGCAAGGGGAATAGGGCAGTAGCCTCAGGTTGTCTTGCCTTGCTTTTTCTGTCATGAGACTTCGTCCTTATGTACGAGCAAGGGCATTCGGGACCTCGTTATTCTCAGCAGGCTGCATCCACAGTAGAGCCTGTGTCCACAAGCAAGGCTAGGTGGAAGCAGGGAGCCTCTGCTTCTTGGCTGCATACACCTGGAACTTAGTGTCAGCAGTGGGTAGGTAGTGGGGTGCAGGATGAGAAACTATCTTGCCTCTTCCAGGATGATAGCCCTTCAATTGGGAGCTAGAGGGAGAGGGAGCCCTGTGTTATTGCCTGCACCAGTTTGGAGTTTCTATCTCACTGAATTTGGAAGGGAAAGAGAAGGAGAATCTTGGTTCAGATAGCACAGATTCTTATGGTTTTCCTGAATATAAGTAAATAGATCTTTCTTAATTTGCTCTTAAATACCCAAACTATCATTGATTAGGGCTATTCCAATTAGTAATTTTTGTTTCAAGTAAAGTAATAGCAACTGTTTTGTAATATGAGAGATTTTGTGAGGACTTTAACAGGAAGCAACACCCTCTTTTCTGAAGTATTATTTTAGGAATAGGGTAATTTGAGTATCTTTTCAACTTTAAAACATAGTGTTAAGTCTTAATTTACTATCATTAGGGTTATAAATTCTTCAGTGTTGTAATCTCAGCTTAAAATGTTTTTCAGATTGTCTTTTTTTTTTTTTTTAAATGAAATATTATCATCTTATCCTGGTATTTTTTAAAGGTTGTTTCAACATTAAGACTACCTATACATGTGTTGGGAGCTCTGGTGACGTAGTGCCTAAGGCATCTGACTGTTAACCAGAAGGCTGGTGGTTCAAACCCACCAGCCTTACTCCTCGGAAGGAAGGTTGGGCAATCTACTTGCGTAGTGATATCGCCTTGGAAACCCAAAGAGGGGTCACTATGAATCGAATCTTACTCCACGGCAGTGGGTTTGGTTTGGTTATACGTGTGATGTTGATAAAAATTTCTTTATTTTTATATATCCTATGTTATTTTATAGGAGGAAGCTATAGATTATTGTTATAAAATTGATGTGTGATAAGTAATATTAATTGTATTTTTTAGAGGGGAGTGATGAATTTTGTATGTAATCTTAGGTCTGGGGAAAATGATGTGGAATACAACAACATGGAATTGGAAGAGGGAGAACTCATGGAAGATGCAGCTGCTGCGGGACCTCCATGTACAGAGGCCAAGCCCTACAAGCCATTCAGTCTTTTTTCTTTTTGTTCTTCTCCGCCTTTTACTATTTTACTTTATTTATTTATTTATTCATATTTAATTTTTTATTGTAGTTTGGGTACAGGTTTTTTGTTTTTATTTTTAATGCATTTTATTGAACTATAATTTATGTACAGTGAAATACACAAAACTAAAGTGACATGGGTCAATGAATTTTTTTTATTTATTATTTATTTTTTTTGCAGTGTTCCTCCCCTCCCCTCCCATCCCTGGCAACCAACAAAGAAAGTTTCCTTCCATATATAAACCTTTCCTTGACCCTCCACAACAAGGAACTAATAATATATTTGTCCTTCTGTGATTGACTTACTTCACTTAGCATAATGTCCTCCAAGTTCATCCATATTATGTGGTTTCTTGCATACTCGACATGATTCTTGAGTGCTGAATAGCATTCCATTATATGTATGTACCATAATTTGGTCATCCGCTCTTCTGTAGATGGCCACATAGGTTGGTTCCATCTTTTTGCTATTGTAAATAGTGCTGTGATGAACATGAGTGTGCATATATCTGGTCCTGTCCTGGCTCTTACCTCTGTAGGATATACCTAGTAAAGGAATTGCTGGGTCAAATGGCATCTCCAATTCTAGCTTTTCAAGGAATCACCATATTGCTTTCCACAGTGGTTGTGTCACTTCACAGTCCTACCAGCAGTGTATGAGAGTCCCAGTCTCTCCACATCCCTGCCAGCGTTTTGTTATTTTCTGACTCATTGAACCATGCCATAAGTGCTGAGGTGAGATGGTATCTCGTTGTTTGCTTTCATCTTTCTGATGGCCAGTGATTGTGAGCATCTCTTCATGGATTAGCTGGCCCCCTGAATATCCTCCTTGGTGAAGTGTCTATTCGTGTCTTCTGAAATCCATTTTTCAACTGGATTGCTAATCCATTTGCTGTTGAGGCATTGGAGTTTTCTATAAATCTTAAGAGAGAAGTCCCTTGCCAGATATGTAATTATCAGCAAATATGAATTTTTTGCTGTTGTTTTTGTTATGTGCTTTCTCAGGGTGTTGATTTCTTTGTTCCATATAATTTTCTATGCTGAGCTCATTTTGTTTATGAATCATGTTATCACTTCCTTTGTTGCTGTTGTTTAGTATTTGCTAAATATTTGTGCTGGTCCTCTTTTTGATTTTGATGTGAAAGTTTATCATTTTTCTTTGACGTTACCCAGTGATTTATAGTTTTCTTCACAAGTGTAGAACAGTCCGTTCTACCTTATAGTTGTCTTGACTTCCCTACCATCTAGAAGTTCTGTAACAATACAGTTTTTTCCCTCATTTTGGTTTGTAGTTCTCCTCATTTGTCAATTGATGTCTCTGGTTCCCTGTTTACAATCTTGTAGGCTTATTTACTTTGAATAGTTCCATAGCTAGGTTGGTTTTTGGGTTATATCATCTTGTGTGTTAATGGTCAGTTGTTGTCGGCTGTTGTTGCTTCTCTGTCCCTTAAAGGGCTCCCTTTGGCGTCTCTTGTAAGGTTAGTCTGGTTTTAACAAATTCCCTTAATTTCTGCTTATCTGGAAATGTCCTAATTTCACCATCGTATTTGAGGGACAATTTTGCTGGGTACATAATTCTTGGTTGGAAATTTTTCTCTTTCCGGGTTTTATATATACTATCCCATTGTCTTCTCACCTCCATGGTTTCTGCCGAGAAATCCGGGGTTAGTCTTATTGGTGCCCCTTGTAGGTAACTTTTCATTTTTCCTGTGCTGCTGTCATGATTCTTTGTCTTTGAATTTGGTGAGTTTGATGATGCTATATCTGGGTGATTTTCTTTTGGGGTGTATCCTGTTTGGGGTTCATTGGACTTCCTGAAGGGATATATTCTCATCTTTCAGCATACCAGGGAAATTGCCTTGCCCCAAATCATGGACAATTTTCTCTGTGGTTTTATTTGTCTCTTCTTGTTCTGGAATTCCAGTGACATGTTGGTTATTCCTTTTGATGGTATCCCACATGAACCTTAGTCTTTCTTCATTTTGTTTTAATCTTTTCTCTGATTTATCCCTTTCCAAAGTAGTGTTAAGGTATTTGCCTTCAATCTCCCTAATTCTCTCTTCCCTGGATTCAATCCTTTTCCTTTGCCCATTCAATGTCTTACCTATTTCTAAAATTTTAGTATTAATCTTCTGGATTTCTGTGTGTAGATTTTGTATCATTTCTAATTTTTCATTTAGTTTCTCCTTTTGTTCTTGTATTGTCTTTAGAAATTGTTGTAGGGTTTTCTTTTTGTTTTCCTCAATTTTGTCAGTGTTTTTCTTGATTTGCCTCTCAATTAATTGAAGATAACCTAAATATAATTCTTTTGAATTCCTTATCAGGGAATTCCAATGCTGCTGCTTCCTCAGGGATATGTTTTGGGTCTGTATCCTGGTCCTTTGTTTCTCCTGCTTTATTTTGCTTCTTTGTGTGGACTGAGATGCTGTGTTGTCTCTGAGGCATTGTGACATTTTTATGTTTATGTTTAATTGGTGATTGTATGTTGGAGTGACTTGCCCACGATTTTCATTTTCTTTGTATGTTACCTGCACAAGCAGGATACCGTGCTGTGCTCCTCTATTCACTAGTTGACAGCACTTACACACTCACCACCTGTCTCCTTTCCTGTTGTCAGCCTCTCATATGTCCCTGCCAACCTTGACAAACATAGCCTATACTTAGGTCCCTAGAATCTGAATGAGAATGCTGTCGCTTTAAAATCCAAAATGGTTGCCACTTGTAAACATTCAAAATGACTGCGCCCTTGGTCACTTTAAATAGCCAGAATGACTGCCGCTTGTAAATATTCAAAATGGCTGTGCCCTCAGTCACTTTAAATATCCAAAGTGACTACCACTTATAAACATTAAAAATGGCTGTGCCCTTAGTCACTTTAAATATCCAAAATGGCTGCACTGATAACCATTCAAAATGGCTGCACCCTCTGGACAGCGGAAAGTCAACAGCTCAGGTTGTCTCCCTCCTTGCTGTTTCCCTTCCTAGTCATAGGCCACCAGCACAGTCATCCCTGCAGCCCTTGGTGACCAGGACTGATCTTTAGGTCAATTCTCAGGTCCTTGAAGAAAACCAAAGATTCATGGAAAGAATTAGGCCTAGCTACTGGTACACCATCTGATCTGCAGCCTATATGACTATAAGACCAGAAGAACTACATGGTGCCCGGCTCCCCGTGTCAACCACTCGGAGGGAGATCTATGTAGGAGACCCTGGATAGAGAGGGAGAACAATGTAGAACAAAATTCAAAAGCATTTGGGAAAAAAAAGGGCGGGAGGAACAGGTATGCTGGTCTGATAGAGCCTTGTGGAACCACTGAGACTATGGCCCCTAGCTGCCCTTCAGGTCTGGAATTGAACCCACACCTGTGACTTCTAGCCAAGCAAAAGACAGGCATAGGAGTTGAACATTTACCTGAGGTTAATACACTCCTTAGAACAAGGATGGTAGAAAGAAGGGCTGTTTATGCATAGGGAGACAGCTCAGGGCAGGTGTGCATAGAGAGATGGACACAGGAAAGAGGTGACTGTTGGAAGGAAGTGGGAGGGGAGCTGTTGCATTGTGGTGAATTGTGGTCAATGACATGAGACAAAGTGTATGTGAACTGCTGTATGGAAAGTGAATTTGCTCTGTAAATTTTCACCCAAATCACAAAAATAAATTCTCAGGTCCCAACACCACTTGGAAATATTCAGGCTGTTGGTCCCTTCAGAGTAGCTGACAGTCCGAAGCTCCGACCATCTCTGTACTCACTGTTTTTGTTTAGGTTTTTCTATTAGTTGGTGCCAAATTCACTTCTTTATAGTTCCTTTCAAAGCTCAGGGCTCCAGGATTATCTTCTGTGTCTCTGTCAATTGGTTTTTCTTTTCTTTGTTGAAGAGGGTCTGTGTCGCTTGTCTGCCTATTCTTCCATCTTACCATACGTCTCTTGGGTGCAGGTTTTATAAAGCACGTTTGTTTTACATTCAATAGTTCATATACATTTTGTTGCATAACACTGATAACAGTCCCACAAGGTAACACCTCTCTTCCTATTCCTCCTTCCCTCTGTCCTTCTTACGTATGTGTTTCTGCCTACTTAGCTTTTTCCCTGTGCAAATGCTGCCCTTCTGGTCTCCCATGGTTGACTTTTAAGGAGTGCATCTCTCTGGTGTAGCTGTTCAGCTTGCAGGCTTGTGTATTACTTGGGTGAGAGCTGAGCCATGAGAGTGAGTCCAATTCTAGGCCTGAAAGGTGATTTAGGGTCATAGTTTCCAGGGTTTCACCAGTCTCTAGCTGACAGTAATCCTGGTCTTTTGTATGTTTCTGAATTTTCTTTCACATTTTTCTCCCACTCTATCAAGAATCTCCTTTCAGAGTGATCGGCACTGGTGGCTGGGGACCATCTAATTCTTCAGGTCTCAGGGTCATGTAGGCTAAGGTTCCAGTGGTCCCTGGTCCCTTGGAGTGTTTCCATACGTCACTGATTTTCTTCACTCTTCTTTGCTCTGAACAAGGAGAGACCAGTAGTTGCATCTTAGGTGGCCAGTGACAAGCTTTTAAGACCCCAATTGCTACTCACCGAGGTAGGATGTAGAACAATGTTTTTGTGTACCATGTTACGGCAATTGAGTGTGATGTTCCCTATTACCATGGTCCTGAGCCCGCAGGCCCAGTGACTCACTCCCTTAAGGTGCTTAGTTATGGCTAAGAAGTTATTCTTCCTTTGTCATCTGTTAGCTTTGTGTAATGTATATGGACATTTTTATAGCACATACAAATATGTATATGGGACTATCATGTGCCAAACCAATATATTGTTGTTGTTGTTATGTGCCGTCTAGTCAGACCTGACTCATAGCGACCCCTCCTTGGGTTTCTGAGGTGGTATCACTCAAGAAGTAGATTGCCCCATCTTCCTTCTGAGGAGTGGCTGGTGGGTTTGAACCACCAGTCTTCT